ATGGTGAACTTTAGGATGAGATATATTGAAATGCACTCCTGTGTATCTTTGCTCTGTTTATATATTTACTTTTGCCTCTGTTTGTTAGCAAAGTCCCTTTAAATCTATTAGAGACACACCCAAAGTGTGTCATTTCATTTAGTCAGATAACTCCTCCCGGATCTCCTTACAAAATGGCCCGAGTGTGCCTGTGCTCAATAATTTGACTTTGTGCTGTTGCCTAGTTGGGTAAATATTCATCTTATCTGTAGATAATATCAGGTAACTCACGATGCAGACAAACCACGTGGCATCCTCACCAGCGATGTGTGATGTGTGTCTCATTCTCATACCTACCTTAGCTGAGGATGTACAAGGGCAGTGATCTGATGTTTACTCATTACGGGAGTTTAGAGAGGAGCTTTTCAAAAGGATTTGTGGATCTTTCTTTTATTATGTTATTTGGATGTCTCTTACGGGCTGCTGCAGATGACTGACCCCAGAATATGTGTGGCAAGAGAAAGTAAGGGTAGAAATCAGCCGCTCTTATGTCTGCCTCTGTCAAATTGAATTCACTCTTTGGATAAATGGGAGCTTGTGAGAAAGGAAAATCCAAGAAAAGTCCCAAAACACCAAGAAAAATTCTCTAGAAAACTTTTCCCTAGTAGGTGTCCTTCAAACAGGGCCCCAATAGACTACCTCAATGGAATGGGGCTCCAGAGAATTTGGTAGCATTTCCCTATTTGCTGTTTTACCTTCTTAAGTTGTGCAAAAAAGGTTTAGGATTCTTCTCTGGCTCCAAAGTTTGCAACTTCACCTCATAGAGAAGTTATCTTAAATCTATGATTACACTAGTCTATTAAAAAATAATAAAAATTTTTTTAAAATAAAAATTTCCCACAGAAGCATTATGCAAATGAACATTATCATTATCTGTCAGATGAGACCAACTGGGACAGAGGGAGTTAAGTACCCCACAGTCACCCCCACACTAAGGGTAGACTTTGACTACATACAGATTTTCAATAAGGACGCTTTATTTGTAATTAATCATGAAAAAATACTCAATTGATCATTTATGATGAATTTAATTTTAAGAAAAATCAACTCATGTGGATCTCTTAGAGAAAGGACTACATTACTAGCTTAAAAATTCTCTAAGTCAGGCTTGCTCTACAGATGGGATGTATTTTCACCCAATCAGGAAATACTCCAAAGTAACAATGATAGGTTCTTGGAAGCTTTTATATCATCCTTTTTAGAACTCCAGTGATGGGCCAGATTTTCAAGGATTTATTTCAGTATCATATGTTTTTTTTCTAACCTCTAATCATTTTTGTTTACATAAATTAAAACCAATGATTCAGTTTTTTAAAATACCCTTTGGCAGATGAATTTGATTCTTCTAGTCCTGTGTATGAATATATTCAGGCAGTGATATTAGACCATTGCTCTGCTTATGAAACATAACTCTCTGGATGGTAACCTGCACGAACAGCAGAGGCCAATAAGGCTCAGGAGTGAATTACTGATGAGGGGAATAACAGGCTCTTTCATACCCAAAATGACACTGGTGACCCAACCTCAGTAAGACCTGGGGCTTGACGTTTTTTCCAGACATGATGATAGATTCACAGTGATCCATTTACACTTCATTGCCTGTCCCCACTGTGTTCAATATCATGCACTAATAGATGGCTGACTAGGGTTAAGAACGCAATTTGTGACCTTGATTGAACTCAGACTAAATTCTGTTGTACAGTGTCTAGTGAGGTTTCTATTCTTTCAACATAGTTTATTACTGAAGTATTAGGTTGAGCCATATGGCATTGATGTTTCTGTAGGTCAAAACAGCCAAATATCAGTTTTTTTCATATGGACCAACCCTAATGTCAAGAGAATTTCTTTCAAGGGTTGTTTCTCATGTTCTTATAGTATAAATTTTGTACCAGCAGTCTAAAATTATTCTTAACACTCTGCTGTGGTTTTCTGCCAGCTATTTGTCTCTTTAACTTTAAATGTTTTAGAGGTGGTTTTTATGACTCTTTTCTTTGTTTCTTGATTACCAAGCATAATTCATCAAGAAAGATCAAATATGTTTATTTTATGCCAACAACACAGTAAACATGACACAATTAAGACTAACTCTTTTTTCAGTAAGTTTTTAAGGAAATAAAGGTAATATTATTGTGCCAAGCAATCTTGTGACAGCAAAAGCAAAATTGTATCAGTTAGACTACAGCTGGTGTTTCACTGCATGATTTATACTATCTCTGAAATAATAACAATATGACCCCCACTGTCAGCCTGAGTCCTTTTTCAGTGGATGTGTTCAGTGGGTCGTATAAATCTTTGATCCTTCACACATATCTCTGTGCAAGAAATTGCCCAGGAAATTCCAAAAGTATGAATAAAATCCAAAATGTCAACCAAAACAAAATACGTAATCAGTTTTAGGTCATTCCTGGTAGAAAGCATCAGTATCAAAAGAAAGTACTCCACTTGGTTTCTTTTTGTTTTGTTTTGTTTTAAGTAAAGATGATGGATTTATGTAATATTTTGGGGGAAAAAACCCCAAAATTAACCAGTTAGCTTTCAAATGACAGATGCTTCTTGACTTACCATCATGGAGTGATGTTCTCATAACCCCATCATAAGTTGAAAATGAATTTAATACACCTAACCTAGCAAATATTATAGCTTAGCCAAGCCTACCTTAAACATGCTCAGAATGCTTACATTAGCCTGGAGGTAGGCAAAATCATCTAGCTGTTTTATAATAAAGCCTATTTTATAATAAAGTTGATATAATCAATCAGTCAAAATTTGTATCAAAATTCAAAGTTCAGCTTCTACTGAACGTACGAGGAAGGACCCAAAAAACCCATGGAATTTATTTATAAAAAATTGTGTCTTTTTTCTTACATGTTTAAACTTCTGTCACCTTCAAAGTACTCACCGTTTTTGTAATACACCTATCAAGGCTGTGTTTCCACTGCTCAAAACAGTTTTTTTTTTTTTTTGAGCTGGAGTCTCACTCTGTCGCCCAGACTGGAGTGCAATGGCACACTCACAGCCACCCCAGCGTCGACCTGCTGGGCTCCAGCGATCCTTCTGCCTCAGCCTTCCAAGTAGCCGGAAGGCACGTTCTACCATGCCTGGCTTTTTTTTTTTTAATTGTAGAGAAGAAGTCTCACCAAGTTGTCCGGGCTGGTCTCAAACCCGTGGGCTCAGGCAATCCACTTGTCTTGGCCTCCCAAAGTGCTGGGATTAAAGGCTGAGCCACCAAGCCCAGCCTCAAAACAGTTTTTGAACACATCAATTTTGATTCCTTTTAGTCCTTCTGCAATTTTTTTTTCATCTCTTCCACATGGGCAAAAAATTTCCCCTTGAGGACTTTTTTCATCCAGGGAAACAAAAAAAAGTTACTCAGAGCAATAGGAAGTGAATAGGGTGGGTGGGGCACAAGGGTCATACCATTTTGGGTCAAAGACTGCTGAACACTCAGTGGTGTGGGCAGGTTTGTTGTCATGGTAGAAGAACCAGTCACCTGTTTGCCACAACTCCGGAGGTTTTTTCTGCAAATCATGATGCAGCCTTCTCAGAACTTCCAGATAAAAACTTTGGGTGACCATTTGGAGAAACAAATTCTGGGTGTACTATAAGGGGCTTGCCCTACAAAAGAGAATGTCAACTTTTTTTTGGGTCTCCCTCGTATGTTGCTTTTGCATCATTACAAAACAGAAAAATCATAAGTCAACCCATCATAAATCAGAGACCATCTGTAATTTTAACTTCCAAAATAATTCAAGGCAATACAAAATATCATGTGCTTGAAGTAATTGCAAGACTTTTCTAACATTTCTACAATATTAAAACTCTCTGTATAGTAAAACTTTTATGCTTTAGGTCAAATAATAAACAACATTTTAACATTTTAAAAACAATATTTAAAAAAATTAAAATGAATGCAAAAATCTGTGATGAATGTATTATCAAAATTGTAATTAGAGACAGAATTGATGTTACTAGTTATTCCCTTTGTCTCAGTCTCTAATATGGCTCAGGAAGATGCTGTCATTACTCAACATTTTAATGAGTTTTCTTGATTTATGTGCCTAAGGAGGTCCTGGCCTCTGACAGCCTTTTTTTTTTTCACTTTGCCTTCTGTTTTCTGACTAGCTGGCAATCTCACTGGTTCCTATCTCCTAAGTCACCCTAATCATGGTTGTCCCTTTTCTCTGTGTACAGACATGGTCCTTGATGTAAGATTATCTTACTTTCCACTTTTAAACTCTACAATGCTGTGAAAGTGATATTCATTCAGTAGCAAACGTACTTCCAGTGCCCATACAAATCATTCTGCATTTCAGTTTCAGTATTCAATAAATTACACGAGATAGTCAACGTTTTATTACAAAAATAAGCTTTGTGTTTGATAAGCTTGCCCAACTGTAGGCTAATGTGAGTGTTCCGAGCATATTGAAGGGTTCGTAGGTTAGGTGTCTTGAATGCATTTCAACATACAATACTTCCAACTTATGATGGGTTTATGAAGATGCAGCCCCTTCGCAAGTTGAGGAGCATCTTTAAGAGGTCAGGGATCATGACTATTTGGTTTATAGTTGCATCTTGACTACTTTTAGCACCATGACTGGCACACAGTAGGTGAAAAAAAGAAAACTCTCTTGGAGATGAGGCTCAATGCTGTGTGTGGCATTCTTGCATGATTATGTTGGTGGAAAACATCTCTGGCAGAACTCTTACCCCAGAACCTGCTTCAGGACCACAGACCTCTTTCCAGAATTTTTCTAAACCCTGGGGCAGGGAACCAGAAATAATATATCTTGAGAAATAATATATAGAAGAGTTAGTGGACTTAGGTACACCTAAGGATGTTCAAATGGGAATCAAGAAGATGATCAACCTTATTTTTTTTTTTTTAAGCAACTGAAATAATGTAAAAAATGATCCTTTTTGCAAAGATCCAGAAAAGGGTATGAAAGGATATAGCAATTTATTTATGCAATTTGAACCTTTTTTTTTTTGCAGTAAAATGACTCCTGAAATTTCTCAGGTTTGGAAAGTTCACAGCACTTACCTTCAATGGTACACTGATCAGGAACTGGAATCTTCTTTCCAATTTCCATGGCATATTGTTTCACTTTACTGAGATTTTCCTTTAAGTGCAAGTAGAGCTTATCTTGGTATTCTGTAGGACTTGCAGTTGTCTCTAGAGTTTCTTTCTGGAAGTTTTCTTTCACAGTTTCTGGCAAACTCTCTGATTCTATATGTATAATATTTGGGTGTGAAACTGAAGAATTTCCCAGCTGTGATCTGTCAGTGTCTGTCTTAAAGGGCAACTTGTCACTTCCTTGGCCAGGTGGGTCTATTTCTGAAAGAGAGATGCTGGCTGGTATGTCTCCACCCTCCCCATCTTCTCCATCATCTGAACTCACCCCTTTCGTGAGCATAGTGTGCAAAGCCAAACTCTTTGACCTAGAGTACAAACAAAGGAAAATTAAAGAAGTTTGAGTTACCATTCACTAACAAGGAAAAGAAATAATAAAACTGGGACAGAAAGTTACTTCCTGTGAATGTGAAACTTAACTAAGGCTTGTTAACATGTAGACCACCAAAAAATTTTGTAATAAACCAAACCTTTGAAAATCTAGGTCACCTCCAAAAACAAAGATTTAATCAATTTCATGGCAAAACTGATGGCAAAATGGTAGACCTACATATTTTTTTAAAAATCCTTTTTCTAGGGATTGGCAGTAGTGGGAAACTGTCAGGGGAGGGGGGTGGGATTGGCAGTTGAGGAAAACTGCTAGGGGAGGGAGGGGCATACCTCATCAACAAGGGTACCTGCATAATTGACGTTTATATACCTAACCCTGAATTGTACCCCAATATTTTTTAAAAATCCTTTTTCTACTTTTGCTTCTGGTTTTTTCTTCAGAAATCAAGAGAAGTTATTCTCCACATTGGCATATCTATTCTTAAAAAGTGTTTTACAAAATTAAGCCAAAGGTTTTGCATTTGTACTCCCCATTTAAGATAGTGAGCTTCTTCTTTTCACAATAGCAAAAACATAGAACCAACCATGCTGCCCATTGAAGCTGGACTGGATTTAAAAATGTGGTACATATACACAGTGGAATATTATGCAGCCATAAAGGACAAACATATGAACTTTGTAGGAACTTGGATGAATTTAGAGTCTATCATACTCAGTGATCTATCACAGCAATAAAGAATAGAGTATCTATGTTCTCACTCATAAGCGGACCTTGAACAATTATCATAATGCTATAAGAAAATGATTAGCAGTAGTGGGAAACAGCAGTTGAGGGAAACTGCCAGGGGAGGGAGGGGCACACCTCATCAACAAGGGTAACTGCATAATGAACATTTGTATACTTAACCCTGAATTGTATCCCACATCTTTAAAATAAAAAATATAGCTTTTTTGGATAATGAGAACATTGTGGATAATATTTCATTCAAAAAAGGACAACTTTAGATGACTGTAGGTAAAAGATAAGTAAAAAGCACCCCATAGCAGCATGATAACAAAACCAATAGCAAACGTAAAATGTATACTTTAAAAAACTAACCCAACAAAATTTGTACCTGTTAAACCGAACGTTTTTTCTTTCTTCCTTAGACACTTGGCTCAAACTGTATCTTCTGAGAGAGCCAGAGGTATTGTTCTCTGCGTTTATTTTGTCTTCAAACACCTGGATTTTAACTTGAAGTTTTTCATGGTCTTCATTGTCAGCTGCCGTGTGCTTAGTTTCCTCTAGTTTCTTAGGGAATTCAATTTCAGCACTGACTTTTATCCTAAAGGAATAGAAATCATTAGATGCTGGTCATATTTACCCTTCAGAACAGTGTTACTCTCTATTTAACTGTCTCTTATGCAGAACTGAAAACTGCCTGATAATTTTTTTTCACTACTCATTTAACAAATAATTATCAAGTATCTACTGTGGGCATAGGTCTTTGAAGTTGCTTCTATAGCTTATTCTGCTAGAAGATTAGAAACAATGGCTTCAACTTTGTGTTAGAAATACAAAAAAGAGGGTTTCAAAGAATAAAAAACAATTTATTTTTTAATTTTTTTGGAGACAAAAATCTCACTATTTTGTCCAGGCTGGTCTCGAACTCCTGGCCTCAAGCAATCCTCCTCTCAGCTTACAGAGTCACTGGGACCACAGCCATGAGCCAAAAAGCAATTTTTATGTCATCTACCATATTCTTATCTAAAAACTCTCCAAAAAAATGGCTTTCACATAAAATTTGTACCAGACATTCTCTAGAAAATGTACATGTGCTGATATATTTGTATTAAAATTGGTGGAATAAGGATAGTTCATATGGACTGTAAACTTGTGGTTTTGTAATTTTATGGAAGTCACTGTAGCTCACCTTGGAAGCAAGAAATAGCTTTCTGAATTTAAGATGTTGGAGGAAGGAGGTTTTCTATAAATAATAATAGTTCCAAATATCTTTTATAGCAGAGTTTATAAACCACTCTGTGGGTCATTAAAATTACCTTCTTTAAGGCAGGGACCATGTGTGGTATAATTTTGGAATTCCTCTGAGGGCTAACAGTGACTTAGCTAGAACAAGAGTCTACAAATAAGCTACAGAAATAGCTCTCAGATGCTCATCTCGTGCTGAATGGCCATAGAAAAGTAGTATGCATTTATCTTCCCTTATCTGTCTTCTAATATTGAGCTGGCCTAGATCTACTTTAATTTTTATTTAACATTCTCTATCAATTATAACATATGGTGTTAGCATTTATATTTCCTTATAAAAACAAGGGTAAAAAGAATTATTTTTTACTCATCACACTTCTGACACCAAATGTGTGGGGGTTTTTTCCCCACATACCAACTAATTCTTCAGTTCTCTGGTAACCAACTGGTACCCTACAGTTCAATTCTGACACTACCCAGAATTAGCCTCAGACTCCACAGACTGTCCCCAATTCATATACCAGTTGGAAGTATGGAGTCTCTAGCTTATCCACACTTCTGTCCAATTTGGTTACTAAGTCACAGGGTTCTACAACCACCCTGCCCCCAAGGCTTAATAATTCACTAGAATAACTCACAGTACACAGGAAGACGCCTTAACTTTTAAGTTACTGGTTTATTACAAAGGCTGCAACTCAGAAACAGCTAAATGGAAGACAGCAAGGTATAGGGGAAGCAGTGCAGAGCTTCTGTGTCCTCCCTGGGCGCAGCCCTCCCAGCACCTACATGTGCTCACCAACCAGGAAGGTCTCCGAACCCTGTTTCTTAGGGGTTTTTATGGAGATTTCATTATGCAGGCATGACCCATTACCTTTGGAAAATAGCTCAATCTTCAGCCTCTCCCCTTTCCAGAGGTTGGGGGTGGGAGGGTTAGAGCATGAGGTAGCAGGTAGGGCTGAAAGTCAACCATGCCTTTGTCTTTCTGGCAAACATCTCCCATCCTAAAGCTATCTAGTCATTCCCAGCCACCAGTCATCTTATTAGCATACAAAAGATACTCTCATCACTTTGGAGATTCCAAGGGTTTAGGAACTATGTATCAGGAATTGGGATCAAAGACCAAATATTTATTTATTATTATTATTATTATTTTGTAGAGACAAGGTCTCTCTGTGTTGCCTAGGCTACTTTTGAACTCCTGGGCTCAAGCAATCCTCTCAGCTCAGTCTCCCTAAGTGCTGGGATTATAGGCATGACCCACTACACCAGGCTACATTTTCCCCCCCACAGCACTGCTTTTTAAAGAAAATCAGGGCAGAAGGACTGGTGACTATTTTTTCAGTTCCAGTCTACCCACTCTGGTGCAATATCTGAGGTGGGCACTGGTGAAGGTGAGGTGGCAGGGTTGGAGACTAAATTTTTCTGGCTGACTCAGAGAGTAGTCCTGGCCTTGAGGGAGAGTTCATGGGCCCTGAGCGGTCAGAATCCATCTATAAGTCCAACCCAGGTGCTGATGGTTCAAAATGGGAAACATCATCTCTTAGGAAACCAGGCAGTGGTTTATTGCCTAATAAGCTGTTGTTGACACAATTTAAAAACAGGCTGGTTGCGGTGGCTCACGCCTATAATCCCAGCACTTTGAGAGGCTAAGGTGGGAGAATTGCTTGAACCTAGGAGTTTGAGACCAGCCTGGGCAATGTAGCAAAACCTTGCCTCTACAGAAAATTTAAAAAAGTAGGCAGGCATGGTGGTTCATACCTGAAGTCCCAGCTACTCAGGAGGGTGAGGCAGAAGGAGTAACTGAGCCAAGGAGGTCAAGGCTGTGGTGAGCTGTGATGGTGCCACTGCACTCCAGCCTGGGCAGCAGAACAAGACTCTGACTCAATAATAATAATAATAATAATAATAATAATAATAAAATCATCACCATCATTTTGCCACTGCACTCCAGCCTGTGTAATAGAGCAAGAGACTGCCTCTTTAAAAAAAAAAAAAGATTTTCATATAAACAACATTTTTTAAGTGTAGGTATTGCCCTGGTGGAACATACTAAGAATGTATTATACTTTACTAAAATTATTATACTTATACTAAAAACTACTAAGAAGCTATTTGTACTTTATCTGAAATTCAACTAGGTGTCCTGTATTTTTACTGGTCAAATGTGGCAACACTACTCTGGAATAAAGCCTTACTATTAGGTGGGCAGGAACTTGTACTGCTCATCCTGTTCCCCCATGTCTGGTACAGTGCTCAGCACACATAGTTCCCTGGAATATTGGGGAATAAGTGAACGGAGACCACCTCGGTGTCAAGATCAACCTGCTCCCTTCCCCCAGCCTCCTGAGGTCTACCAGATCCCCACTTCTCTTGGTTCGTCAGGGAAGAGCACAGTGCTATCAGCAAATACAAAATGTGGAGAGAAGCATGGAGTGAGAGTGGGAGCAAAGACAGGAATTTGCAAGGGAGCAATTAAGAGTGAAGAAGCAACAATAAAATGTCTGAGCCAAAAAATGCTCTTTAGATGTGAGGCTGATGAGTGTTGCTGATGAGAATTCTCACCGCAAAGGCTTCCTCTTCTACAATTTCTCTTGTTTCTATGATTCAGAGATTGTAGAGCACAGAACTCGGGGAATTGGGGTAGTCATGAAAAGTCACCAAAGGGATCATAGAGAATTTTCTGTCTCTGTCCATCAACCCTCCTGGGCATGCTACAGAGCTTTGCTGGCGGGAAGGTAGGATGAACTTTGATTCCAATAGATTGGAAGGTCAGGAAATGGTGGATAAAAGGTCTGAATTTATAATAAATATTCCCTGCTCCTTTATTTATTCTCCTTTTTAAATTAAATTAAATTAAATTAAATTTTTTTGAGTCAGTATCTCACTCTGTCACCCAAGCTGGAGTTCAGTGGCACCATCACAGCTCACCACAGCCTCAGCCTCCTAGTCTCAAGTGATCCTCCCACCTCAGCCTCCTGAGTAGCTAGGATTACAGGCACATGCCACCATGCCCAGCTAATTTTTTTTTTTTTTTAGTATTTTTGTAGAGATGAGGTCTCACTATGTTGCCCAGGCTGGTCTCAAACTCCTGGGCCTAAGCAGTCTTCCTGCCTTGACCTCCTGAAGTGCTGGGATTACAGGCATGAGCCACTGCACCCAGCATTGATTTTTACATTTAATATAAAAATATAGAAGAATTTTTTTAACAAACTCTTCTGCTTTCCTTCCAGAGCAAGAAATCACATCACAAATGTGAATGTGCTGGTGGAGCCAGGGGTCCTGTGTGTGTTTACTTGTGGGGTAGTGGGGGTTGGAGCCAGTGGGTTGGGCTCATGCAGGGGGTTGTTCTTTTCCATTTGTCACTTTTAACCCCAGAAGTAATTTTACAGAAATCGTTGCCAGAGTTCTATAATCCCCTAAATATTAACTTGGCCTTAACTCAACACGCCACGTTACAAGAGGCTCAGATAATTTCCAGTCTGAACGGTTTCTGGTCTCTGTTGCCAAAGCAAAGTATTTAAAAGTACCCCTAGGGATGCCCAGGAGGAGACCTAATTATCTCCCTCTTGCATGAGCGGGGACTCCCCCTAGAAACAAATTGGCCCTTGGACAGCTCACTGCTCTCACTAAGCCGGGAGATGAGGCTGTAAAGCTGGCTGGGATGGAGAGATTGGCAGCCTCTCTTCCTGGCTCCTTAAATCAAAGAAAAATAATATTAGTTAATGTTTGATGATCTTGGCTCATGATCCCAAGTCCAGAATAGGTGCTTCTGCAAAGTTAAACTTGTTAGAGAAGAAGTAGGAGAATGTAATAGACCAAATCCACATTGGAGCCCTAAATTCTTAGAATGTTATATTCCTTACTCTTCAGCAATTTCTTGGGTCATCAGTCATCATAAGAGACAGAGATGATCCCTCAGCACCACAGTGCTAGCATCTGTTTCAGGACTGCAATGAATGATGCTGCTGGAACAGCTAAGGCAATGTTAAAGGAAAGGACAACTCTAAGTCTAGGTTCCCCGTGCTCTATTCTGCCTCTGACCTGCTCAGTGGACAGGCACAGGTATGGGCAAGTGTCTAATTATTTGGGGATCAGAATGTGGCCAGTAGTAGAACTTTGCTGAAAAGAAATAACTCCAAAGTTTATTTCATTCACACAAGATTTTTTTTTTTTTTTTTTGAGCTGGATTCTTACTCTGTTGCCCAGACTGGAATGCAATGGTCGCTTCCGGCCACCGCAGCCTCGACCTGCTGGGCTCCGGCGATCCTTCCGCTTCAGCCTTCTGAGTAGCCGGAATTACAGGCGTGCGCTACCACGCCCGGCTGATTTTTTGATTTATTGTAGACATGAGGTCTC